GAATAGTGCTTCCTTGAAACATCCCAAATACAGGAAATTAACGCCCCAACATGTAATATATCGTGGACTGTTAATCATAATAATATGATAAATCATATTATGAACAGAGCTCCACAGAAAGAAGAAGGGACGAAATTTTAGTCTTGCACAAGCACATCTCAACCTAGCATTGAGAAAATTCTGCATCGCTAATCTTAATGATTGATTGATTGGCTGATTATCAGTGATTGCGAGCGTTTTTTCCCTCTAGAGGTAGCGGTGATCTTCCCCCGCTACACGGTGAGATCCGGTGCCGACCTACCGTCCGCTAGCAGGGTTTTACTCAACCAGGTATCTCCCACCAAACAGGGCACCGCCCTAGCCGGAACAAGCTCTCGAGAAGTGTGGTAGTGTTGTACATATTAGTGTGGCTGTTCGCGGTGAGGAAAGGACCAGGAAGTGGAAGGAAAGATCGCGAGCGGTCCGTTTGATAGGGTACTGCTCCGGCATTCGCCAGGTGTTGATCGGAGAAACCACGGAAAACAACCGATCAACGCAGCCGGCCGTGAGAATTCTACTCCAGACAGCTGCCGAATTCGACCTATGTTGCCAGAAAACCCTGCGATCGTCGGGACTCGAACCAAGGACTTCCCGGTCAGAGGTACTGCAGTGAAATCAGTTGATGCCCTGAACCACTTCTCCCCATAGTTTAACCGATGTTCGTGTCGCTTAAGGCTAAGCGAATGTGGGATCTGATTATGATGGGGATTGTCATCGGATTTTATTCCACCACGGTACAAATACGTGACACAAGAGTGACATGGCACACTGACGATTTTCGATCGTATCAGGAAAACGAGTGCATGCAATGGCCTGAGCTTCGACCTAAATTAAGACATTCATTCATCATTGGTTTAATTTACCAGTGAATAAAGCCCCCACAGTTGTCGACAGCTTCGAGTGCAACGATTCCATTAACATAGGCAAGCGACCTCATTCTCGTAATTAATGCTTTTTACACCGAATTTCCTTTCGCACAACAGCCAGCGAATAGGAGAGCTGCCAGTGAGATCGCATCCATGCACCAGGGTGGCCTCCGCTTACGTCATTCGCGCTGTGGCCCATCGCTCAGCTTCGCGGAGCGGCAGAGCACCATGCACCGGTTGGCGCAAACAGAGCGGGGCCTTCAAACGGAGTGGCGGCGCACTTCTGCTCAGCTTCCGTTTTTTTCGCGTCTCTTGCAGCGTGCTAACACGGCCGACCTTTGGGACAACCGGCAAGAGATTTTGCAGAGCGCCTGCAACATTCTTAGTTCGTGCAAGCTGATTCGTATCGTCTCACAAGAGTTTCTTTCTCTGACTCGTAGTCTTAAACGAAGCAGAGCTAACTAAAAAAAGGAAGAAGTTACAACTGAATTTCCAGAAAATATGTTTTTCCGCCTTCGGAATTGTCTTAACAGCAAATACCAACAAAACATGCACATCATTTCACATTTCATTAGCGTGCATCCCTTGCAGAAAATTTCAAACACGAAGACGAATATAACATTTTGCCAACTACATACAGTAACAAAAATAAGCCACAGTAACAATTAAAATTATTAATACTGCTGTTGGCACCACAAGACCAATGGAGTGAAGATTTCAACTGATTCTGGATTTCCACATTCTATTTCCGGTTCCTTAGTCTTCCATCGTTTCAGTTTAAGAATTTCACTTATGAGATGATGCACCAAGTCATTTTTAGGCTTTCTTATTGCTCTTGTTCTAAAACTGCAGAAGGATCAATTTCAGAACTCTGAGGTCACTTATTCGAATTACATTAGAAGCTTGTTACTACGGGGCGGATTTTAATGAAATGTCATTTTTACTGCATTTTCACTGACTTCATCGATTTTAATATCGTTTTAACGGTACTTGCTTCAAACAATATTTACGACGTTCAACACATGTTCACCACAGAATTCTAGAGTAACCTATTCGATATCTACGCTCATACATTGTAATGTCAGCCACTGTGAGCACAACGTAATCTTAAGTTCCTGTAACGCTTATCGGCGCCATTCTCAGTTCGGCCAATTTCGCGATAAATAAAAGCAGAGATTTCTTTTACAGAACAGTCCAAATGGAAAGTTTGCAAGGTGCTGTGACGTAGTGAAATGAGAATAAATTCAAATAAAATAAAAATAGTATATTAAAAGGTTATAGACAAGATACAATAAATTGCTAAATTTAAACACTCCGGCAACCTTTTCCTTCCAGTACCCTGCTTTACCGCAGAAAAATAAAAGCCACGCGTGATGCGAGCTGTCGGACTTCCGTCCCGTGACAATTACCGTCACATGGCCTCACGCCAAAATTTAAACCGGTCGTGGCGGACCGTGTGCCTACAGCACGCGAGATCGTCTGGCCCTTACGCTCCGGACATCTCGCTCACACTCCTACACTCCTTGTACCTACTCGTACAACGCTCTCCGATGTAAACTGAATGAGAACGCGGGCGCAGTTGGCGCCGCGTTAAATAGTTGAGGGCTACACCCCCACCACACAAGTTCCCTAGATAGTTCGCTTGCTGTCGGCAAGCGAGGGCTCGCTAGCTAGCTTCCTAGGAGTTTACAGCCTATGGTTATTTTTGGCTCTGCCACGCTGTCTGCGTCAACTGCCAGAGCGCAAAATCCCGGAAGTTCAGGCTCAACCCTTTCCTCCCCTGCAGCGTGCTTTCACCTAACGGTTCTGGCCCTCGTGTTAACGACGCCACAGTGGGTTCACTTGAACAAAAGGAAGAAACCTCGATTACAGCAGTTTCATAACCAATAGCTGCAGTTGTTCATCTGAAGTGGTTTTGATAATTTATTTACGTCATTTTTCTTTGTTTATAGGGCATTTAAAAAAAATTTAAGAGCATTTTATTGATCATTTTTGGCAATGTTTTAGGTCAACAAAAGCCACCCCTACTTATTACAGTATTCGTATTTTCATAATTAGATCAACTGTATCTGACGTGTGACAATCGTTGCTTCAGTACCCATTTTATATCCATAAACCATTTTCACAAACAAAACAATTTTGGTAACACTTTCTTCTACAAATCTCTTTTATTTTCATTTTTCGACCGGTCAAGAAGACAATAAATTGAGCATAATGATGATACGATAATAATTGCAACAAACAATATAGTCATGACTCTAGGAAAATATAATGTTTGCCTATCTTTTAATTTTATAATATTTTACTGTGGTACAAACTGTAAAACTGTTTTGCAAGTTGAAACAGGTGTGCGCTAATGGAGAGGAGACTGGGAACATGCACTGACATTTTTTCTGTGAACAAACGTGATACTGTCAAATATCGATACTTTTTGGTTAAGTGCTTAAATTTGTTTATGAAACATATTTCTAGTATTTCAACAGTACAGAATTTCATAAAAATACAGCACGAGTCACAACTGCATCAGTCGATTTCTAGAGTAAACCCCTTGCGTTTAGAAGCGAAATAAACAACTCTGCTAAAATAAGAGCGTCATTCAAAATGACAATTTTTTTTAGATGTGTCATTTTTCTTGTGCAGCGCCGATTGTGCATCTGCCGAAGAGCGCCGGGAGTCTGGCCTTTGGTCGCTCCTCGGAACCACAGCTTTTCCTCCAGCAGCCTCTGCACGGGTTTCTCAGTGGCGCCACGCGCCCGCAGCGGTCGCTCGCTCTATCGGGGTGCATCTAACAGTTGGCGGCCGTATTTGATGTGCGTTTCGCAAAAGGCGAGGCGGGTCGGAGCTGGACAGATGGGGGACGGGGCGGAACGGAGCGGTGCGGGCCAGGACAGACCCGGGTGGGACGAACGGTGCCAGTGAAGGCCAGTAGGGTAAGACGAGCGGGGCAGATCGGGACTGACACAAATGTGACAGGCCGGGGCGCGGGCCGGGGCCGGGCGCGGCGGGGCGCGCGGGGCGGTGGCGGGGGCCGCGGCGGGGCGTGGTGGGGCGCGTCGGGGCGTGAGGCGGAGGGAGGAAGGTCACAGGCAACGCGGTGATGTGGTGAGAGGGGTCAGATGGGGGCGGAGCGGCGACTGATGAGAAACATGAAGATCGGTCAGAACTCGTAGCGGGGCGCGGCAGGTAATTAGATGTAAGCGCGAGACGGGGTCAGAGCACAGTGATGAGGGTAGCGTCTGGGGAGACGCAGACATATCGGGGCGGGGCGGGTCTGGACCACGCGTCGACTGATCGGGGCGGTCAGAGCACAGTTGTGAGGGGTGGAACGGGGTGAGAAGAGAAGAGCAGATGGGGGTGGAGCGGGATTGAGACAAGCATGACAGATCAGGGCGGGTCGGCGCGGGTCAGAGCACAGTGTTGAGAGGTAGGACGGATTGAGTACAGAAGAACAGGGCGGGGTGGAGAGGGGCTAAGACAAGCGTGACAGACCAAGGGGATTTTCGGGAAGAGGCTGCGGGGCTTGGAGGGGAAGTATGGGGCGGGAATTGAGTTGGGTTGGCGCGATGCCGGCGCTCGCCGCGGCGAGGCGATAATCGCGCGCGCACCTGCACTTTCGCAGCGGTGCGTTCGCCGCTCCCACCCTCCTCCCGTGCTTTCCCACGTGCCTGTTTGCGCGGCGCGTTGGCCAGGCGGCACAAGGTTCTTGTGGGATGACCACCGAGAGGCTGGGTAAGTATATTACGTAAGACGAATTTCAGGTAAAATCGACACCTCTCTCCCTCACATAAAATATCGCAAGTTTCTTGTAGACTCTATACCCTTTTCTGAATCCATATTTGAGATTGTTTAACAAAAATGTATTAGGTATTTTAATTATGATTAATATGAAAAACGAATGGCGCCGCACAGTGGTTGCCACCAAAGCCTATGAGATTGGCTTTGAGGGTTTATTTTATTTTTAAGTGGTTGTGTTAATGACAAAAAAGTAAATCTCTATGTAATATCAATTTGAAATCGCAAAGTCATATTTCTTTTCATTATTGATCGTGTAGAACTTAATTAACGGATGAATGTATAGTATATCCATTAATCAAAATGCTTCACAGAAAAAGGTGTGCCAGTGAGAATGGAAAGATGAGATCTGTGCCCAGAGACGTAAGTTCCTGAAAGTCATCAAAGAAGAAATAAAGAAAAAAACATACCGGTTATCGTAATTCAGTTCTGCAGCATAAATCCTTGAGTCAGAACTTGGAAATCTGCATTTCACTTCACTGACAATGTCATGACGTCAAATTGAAGCAGTGTTACTAAAGGAATGTTTCTTTCCTCATTTATCATTCTAACATACAAGAATTTAATAATGAATGGAAATAGTATTGAACTAATTGTGAAAAGATGGGTAGGAGAAATAGGAGTCCTTGAGTAAAACTGCCGCGAACCTGCTTTGCCTAGATTGACAATTCCTGATCCACAGTTTCAGAAAATACGCATTTCTGAGCTAATTTTCACAGAAACCTATTGAGTTTTCGAGAAATTTCATTCAAAATCACTTTATTCACAAATGCAATAATGTTTAAATTCGCCCTAATGTACATGTTAACTACATGAGAGATATATAAAAAATACATTTGATCACAAAAAATCAAAAGAATGTATCAAAATGGGGTTCACGTCATACTAATCAGTGCATTTAGCACCATCGACGCATAATGTTTAAAGAAAACAATTGGAACCGGTTTTTTTTTGAAAAAAAAAATTGTTAGCAAAATTGCCTTTACATAACGCAAAAGTATGCGACAACTACTTACATTTTGAAAAACATTGAACACTTCATTTAAAGACAGATTTTTGAAGAAAATAATTCAAAAAATAAACTTAAAAAAATTATATTCAGAAGAAAATTTATGTTCAATATCTTAGTAGTAGGAAGAAAGAAAAATATGCACTTATGTAATTTTCAAAAAATAAAATAATTCAACCAAAATCCGGCATGTATATATTTTATTCGCTTTTTTCTTCATCCGATACAAAATTAGTCCAAAAATTTCCGTTCATTTTTGAGAAAAAAAATGAAAATATCTTTGAGGCTTCATGACGAATACACCAAAGAATTAAAATATTGGCTAAACTTAAGAGGCCCCGACATCAGTCAGATCGACTCAGCAATAACAATTTTTATGAAAAACCAATTTACGGTTTTTTCTTAGACAAACGGACGGAGAGACGTTTTGCCGTAAATCAATTTTTCGGTTTCAAGGTCTTACAAAACGTGAATCCTGACCTCCCAACGTGTTAGACGAAGTAATAGAAACCAGAAATTTCCTCTTTTTTTTTTTTGGTATTGGCTATTCGGGAACTACAATACGAATGTGTCCGCCGAAAAAACGGAGTATTAAACTGCAGCATTACATAACTGTCTCTGTATTATACTATAGTATATATAAGTATATATAATATAGTAAAATAAGTAGTATGAGATAAACTAAAAAAAGAGGAAGAGAGAAGGCGTGGAGAAAGAGGGGAGGGGAAGAGAAACAGAATTGAGAGGGAGGCAAGCAGTGAAAAAAGGGGAACGAGAAACTATACCCAAATTAATAGTGGTATTCAAATTTATTTCTAAATTTCTACTTGATAGCCTCACTGCTTTAAACGAGATTTCCCGTCTTCGCAATTTAGCACTTTGCTTTCCACCGAAGTATCACAATGTCAGGCATCTGAACTTCCCTCTTCACTGTTCATTACAAGAAACACTTCACTCGGGGCCGTGTCCTATTTTCCTCCCACAGCAGCACCACGCATTGCCGGAGTAGCGGGCGTGCTGGAGACGACAGATTTACGAGCGGTACGGCAGGCGCGAGCACCCGGAAGGAAGGCCAGCGCGACGCGGCCCCGCCTTCCTCTTTCCTCCTCCTCCCCCCGTCCTCTCTCGCCGAGCCGCGGCGCGACCTATGAGGCGCGCGGCCTCCCGACAGCGCCGCTCGCGCTTGTGTCCCAATAAGCGCGGGGCCGCAAGTGGTCGGGTCGTCGCGCCCCGCCTCCAGTCCGCTCCGCTGCCGCGCCCGCTCCGCGCCAACCCGCGCTACCGTCCCTCACTTCCTGTCCCGCCCTGCCTGGCGTTCGCTCCACGCCGCCTCCTCTCGCCTCTGTCTCTTCTGCCTTGCCCCCTACACCCCCGGCACCACTCGCGCTCACCCCCGCCCGACCTCATCCCAGGCCTTTCCGCCCCCCGACGCACGCTAATGCTTCGTGCGCGTATCGTCCGGTGCCGCACCACATTTCCTTGCCTCGCCCCCCCCCCCCCCACCACACCTGCATTGCTTCGCCCACGCATCGCTCCGCCCGCCTCGCCCCTCCCCCCTCATCACATATCTCACGCTTCGCCTCGTATCGTCCCGTGCAGCTCTTCCCTTCGGGCACAACGACTCGTCTTGACGCCCGCTGCGCCACCTGCACCGGCACAGCACCGCGCTGCGCCGCACCACACGCCGCCACTTTGCCTCAAACAGGGACATCGGTGTCAAAGAGCCTTCGGCGCACCTGGGATGCGAAGGAGGGGCAAGAGAGAGGTCGCGGCCAGGGTTCTTTTCGCCGCTTGGAAGAGCAATCCTCTCTGCTTAGAGAGCCACACGCTAGAGGCAACCAACAGCTAACTTAAACAGATACTTATGAAAGGATGTATGACTGCATTAGTTGTATTTTATTATCATGAATCATAGGTCAAGAGCCGTTCCACCGAATATGGAATGCGAGGGCATCGGGCACTCCGGTCGATTTGACACTTTGACCAAGCATAAGAGAACAGTTACATGAGTTGCATTGGACATTTTTTAAATGATGAATTCTGGTTTAAGTTTTATTTCTAATCATATGGCTTGTGTCATGTCTTGAACCCTCATCGCACGCGCGATGGAAGGGCGACAGTCATCTCATCAACGCCAACGTCAAGCGCGACAGTTACTCATCAACCCCAGTAAAAGCTCGAACTTCGCATTTACAAAAAAGTTGAGATACACACAATATCAAACTTTAAGACAAGCTTATGAAATGATAAACGATTCTTTATTTTGCATTTTATTTATCATACGGCTTGCCTTGGGTCACGAACTCTCCATTGAACATGGAATGGATACAGGACAGGCTTCCCGGCCAGTTCTAATTATCCATGGCCCACTACGTACAACTATATCAGATTTTCAATAACTGATATTAGAACACGGATGTTTAAATAATCCATAGCATCTAATGAACGATTATCAACACCGGTCTGTCTCATTTCTATTTAATAGTCGAATTCATTAACATCAACTTCAGGGATTCTACCAAGCGGTTTGTTCCAATCTTAAGTGTTTAATGCTAGATTTACAATGGATCACTTCAGCATTTCCTTGGTCATATTACATTCCTTCTTTCTGGTGGTCTGTAATTAAGAACATGTTTTGGAATGCGGCAATACTCCATTCAGTCAAGATGATTCAACCAATTCTCAGTTCTGTAGAGTCTAGTTCTCAGATCGATACCGAAGTGTGGGGATAACCATTACTTTACATAATTTTCCCTTTGCTTGTGGCTTGGGGATTTTTTTCGCAGTTCCACACATTCGGTTGAATTTATTAAATTTATTTTTATATGATAATTATTCATGTATGAAATATAGTAAGTTGAAATTGTTGATTTGTTCTAAGATAACATTGTCAGGTACTAATTTGGCCTTAAAGGGTCTATTCCTTTAAATGCCATTACCTAGGTTTTATAAATAGATATTTGTAAGTGGCACTACAAATATGATTCAAAGAGTGGTCAGGAAACTGAAGCTTGTCTTCGGAATTCGATGTAATGATCTGGTCATCAGCAAAGAGCAGAGTGTCTATCATGGAGTTGACTATAAAATGGTCCTTAAAATGATTTGCCATTTTTCAATGGATCGCCTATGTATATGTAATAAACTGTTGGCGACAGTAGGCATAAATTGTGGGGTCTTATTCCAAAATTTATTCCATCCAAATAATTTTTTGTTACTTGCCGCATAAATGGTGATTTTATTTTCGACACATAGGCTCTGAATAACTCTGATGAAATGCTCTGGAATTGCTTTTCTCTTTCATAATTTTCCATCTTACGTTTCTGTTCACTTTATCAAGTTTTCTGGAAATCTATTTAAGTCAAATTATTAAAATAAAATGATAAATAGTAAAATTTAAACGAAAATTATAATTCATTGAATTTTTTACAAAGTGGATAAGACGTTGCACAAATTCGCATTCTAACATCTTAAGAAATTATTACATTGTATGGTTTGATTTACAGGTTAAGAGTCCACAGAAAATGGAATTCGCGAAACTGGCGTGGCCGCGCTCATTTCTTCACACCGCTGTGTCACGTAAAGTGTTGATAGTATTCGAACTAAGTATTTTTGACTTTCGTTCACCATTCCACTATTAATAACTTCAAAATTTAATTTTTGAAAAACAAAGAAGTTACTTTATACACGAATGAATAATTTGCCTAAGTTTACGCATGGAAATTCAATCTTTAGACAGCGATTTACAAATATGCCCGTCATGGTATATTTTCGAATAGTTGGTGCCAATATAATCACACAGTTACGTGAATTTCTTGAAAGATGATAGATTATGCATGCGAATAAAACGGTTTCTTAAGAAGTGGACGATTCGTAAGTGTGAAGCATCTTTTTTGAAAGAAATCTCACGAACCACTAATATTGATAGTAGTTATATTGCAGGCGTAAGGATTAAAAATGGAGGACATCATGAGAACATAGTTCATCAGTTGCAATTCGGACAACATATTTTCATGAACTATCTGTCCCATCCCAGAAAATTTAGAGTGCGAGTATACAACAAATTAGAAATGCAGTCTCTAAATACTGACAATTGAATATCATACAGGCAAAATTCGATACAAAAACATAAGGTACTACAGAAATTAATTAATGTTCTGAATAAGTCAAACAGCTCAAAGAACTATTACCCCAAACGGAAACCGATCCCACGTCACCTGGTATACGATCCCTGTATCACTGAGTTACCGAGACAAGTAAATACTAATAATTTCCTTTACAGCTTCTCAACTCCAGAGTAAAACCATAAAATCAGTGACAAAAAGTCATTTGCGTAATAGTGGCCAAAGAATGGGTCATACTACGTTTAATGCGCTTGGGAAATGTAAATAGAACAGTGTCTCATTGGACTAACATTTGATATCTTTACCACTCTTCTCTGCTATCACTTAACCACAATTGACGAGCATCGAAACCACAGCCTGTGATGACTTCCGTAGCGTGTTTAATTCCCACAAAGGCTTACCATACGCAAACAAGTACGATTCACCAAACAGCTCATTCATTTCTCACATTCGGAAGTTCATTTAAATAAAAACGAATGAATTCAAAAACATACTGCAAAGAAATCTTATCAAAGCATTCTCTTCCTCTACATTTTACAAAATGTCTCCAAACTATTTCCCTTCCTACCTACCTACCAATCCTACAGCAGCAGGACATATCGAAGACATATCAATACAAAGAATATGCATAACTCATCTAGAAAGCAGGATCCGTCGGCGCTTAACTGGCAGTAAGAAAAGCGAGCATGCGTAATTATTTCCGTTTACACCGGGAGAAAATAGACTTGTCATTTCGTTACCAATCACGTTCGAACTCACTGGTCAACGGCAGCCGTGATCAACACAATCGATCATCCTACCAGTTTTGAAACAGGATCAACTATGCGACAACTTTCGCATGTCGGAACCCGATTTCCTCTTACATCCGTGTGAATCGAAAAACATGTTAGTGAAGCTTGGCGTATACGTAACTATCAATAGGAGGAATACTGAAATTGAGCATGTCTTTTACCATCCTTACAACGAAGTGTAGTTAACAAGAAGACCCGAACACTTTATTTATGTATTAGAAAACACTAAGGTTTTTTTCGTTTAGAAAGAAATTTGAGCAGTTCTTCTCAACCAAATTTAATGATTTCTTTTTAATAGATGATAGTGTGCCCTAGATATATCGCTAGCTCTTATTAACTGGTTTTGTAGTAAAAACACTAACTTTAATGATTAATAAAATGAATAGAATGAACGGTTATTTAACGTCATTTGTTCATTACGTCATTTTGAAGACCATCAGCAATACAATATTGTAGTTGATCTTGGTAGGATATCTTTGAAACATACGGCTGACGAAGCGATGAGAGAATGTTATTTAAATTCGAAGATTGGCTGCTTTTAAATGCAAAGATTAGTGAATATACCGTTTCATGGTATTTGACTATTTTGCGAATGTCCGTCCGTCCGCTACTCACGATTACACCCCTTCCCGTCCACCAATCGAGAGAAATCAGGTGTCGACACGTGACGGCTTCGTGGTGGGGAACTGATGATTTGTTTGCTGATCCGTCCAAAAGGTTCTAGCAAATTTCCGAAGTCTTGTTTTATGCGACTTTAGCCCTGCTATTTAGCGGTGGCCATACACCAACGCCCGGCAGCCAGGCGCCAGGTCAACAAGTAGCTTATATTAGGAAGTTTTTGCACCCTCAAACGTCAAAGTAATCGTATGCACTATTGATCTTCTGCGCATGAGCAGAAGATCGAAGCGTGCAAAAACTCCCTATCGCATCGCCCGCTGCTTATAGTATGCGGAGCAGGGCTTGCATCAGTCGGAAGCGACAGGTTCATCGTCAGTGTTGTCGTTCCGTGGGAGAACCATACGAATGAAACGGTATGGTCTAGAATAGAAACTTGCAACTGTAGTAATGTCCTTTAATAAGCCGCCTGTTAATACATCGGAAGAGCGTATTCTCCAGAGCAGATTTTCTGGGAGCGTTCGGATTAGGTTCTCCAATACCGTGTTCTGGGAAGGGTAGGGCTGCGGCCCGAAAGAACATCCGACAAGAGATGACCGCAAGGTATTTACACTTAATTTCAATTCTTATGACATTTTTTTACGTACTACGCTCGAGGATGAAAGAACCAGACAATTGTACATTTAAAGTTTCTTTTTATTGAAAATTTGAATTGAAATTTCCAACACATGAACATACTTATAAAACAATTTAAAGCGTCAGCGACACCACATTTAGCTAGTAAAAATAATACATCGACTGGACCTGGAAACGTGTACGCGAAAAACTTCGGCTGGAATTTTGGATACTTTAGACCACTACAACACATGTAGAGATCTCTTTAAATATGGTAAATATAAAACATTGTAATTTTATTTTTTTTTAAATATTTAACTATGCTCACAACGAATTGTTCCAGAATTTGTGAACCTTCCTCATTCCATTAGTTCTACAGATTAAGAACTGAACGACACGAAACATTTTAGTGGCTTTCCATTTCCCGTTTCGTGCATTTGTAGTACTTATCTGTTGTAACGTTGTAACAGCTCTTCTTTTTGTGCGATAAAATCGCAGGGGTTTAGCCAGTAATAAATAATAATAATAATAATAATAATAATAATAATAATAATAATAATAATAATAATAATAAGCCAATAACAATAGAATGACCCAATAGATCTCACTTTGCGAAGATAGAAGCGAATGAAGATATTGAGGCCTTTTACCTCAAACCACCAGCAGTACTTATATTTTCAATAAGCTCTGTAAATAATTTAAAAATCATTATTCCCTCCGAGTGCTAAATTGCAGCATGGTCCTAAAAGCGAATCACAAAGTCTTCAGATGTAAAAAATCCAACTTGCAAATAGCAAGTTGCTAATTACATTCTGTTATCTCAACTTCCTCTGTTTTATTGACACTCGTCGTGTCGGCCTGGTCCCGTGTTCCGACACTCTCCTAAATACTTCCCAGCCGTCTTCTTCCCTTTCAATAGCTTCGTCAGCATCGCTTCCTTCCTTAATCCTTTCACGCCACTTCAGAAAACACATTTCTAGAAGCAACGAGAGCTATAGTAAGAGGACACTTACTCTATTTACAGTTTCCTGAGAACCGTTCTAAAAACCCGACGAGTAGCAACATCTAGCAGAGATAACTAATGCATATTTACAGCAATCAGAAACCAAACTACGATATAGACGGAACCAACAACTGATTTCAAGGAATAACAATAACATAACAACAAATAAATTTTTGGCGCCAATTTCGTTCGAACAGCTCCCCATCAACATGCACACGCATTGGTTGTGACTGGAGAGAGGAAACATAATAAACACACTTGTTGAATGGGTAACGCTTTCCTTACATCATATCGGTCTCACACAGGAAACTCGGTACACTCCACTGAGCTGCCCTTACGCATACCACCGATTGCAGCAACCGCTCTTACGAGCTTGGCCACGTTTATTTTCTTAACAGACCAATAGTCAAGCCACTTCGTCGACGCGTTTCGGCAGATAAAGGAGACAAACATTTCGAACAACAGCATCTCATATCAGCCGTTGGTCAGATACTGAGGTCTTCGTCAAGTCGTGGCGTTGCTCAAATATACCTAACTCCTGTCCATAATGAGCAGAAAAATTTTTTTTGATTTGATTTAGTTTGTCTAAGTACGGTTAAAAACAGCATGTGACGTTGGGACGTGATTTAATTTTTCTCTAATTTCGATCCAACAAATTGCGTAACAACCTCAATTTTAGTAGAACAGTTCAGTCGTTATGTGGTTCCTATTGATAGTATGTTTTTATGTGATTCTCAATAATATCAACGATTAACGTAAAATTATTTCCCATACGTGTCTTTTAATGACACTAAATTTCAAAGACCGTCTGGCTACAGGAAAGTTCAATTGGTGCCCTTCGGTGAATCCACGTCAACCAGGAGAGGAGTACCACATGCAGGTCACAGGTATTAGTTAGTTACCGTCAAAGTAACCAAAAAGAAATTGACGAAAGTATGTAATTTATTTGAAAATGAATCAATTTTTAAATTTTCAACCAATAGATATTTCTGTTTGGAAAAAAAGTAGGGATGCACGACATACCAAAACTTTTTCTTGGTGTTATTACTCAACAATTACTCATGCCCACTTTTTTAAAATACATATCATTTAACCGTACAAAATTGAGAAATAAATTGCATTCAGAAAATATGACATATCAGACATTTCCCAGGAAGTTTTGAAGAAAGTTTGAAAGTTCCTCGCCCCCAATATATTAGACCGGACAGAGACAAACAAACATTATGCAAACAATTGAACGACCTTTTAAATCACTAAGCAATACGAGATTATAAAAAGACAGTTATTTTGAAATCACAGACACATAGTATAAATTTATTTACATTGATTTAGTAGAATATTTCAAATCCTTGGCTTAATTTCTCAAATAATTTAATGGGAACTCGACTTTACACTAATGTATCCTACAAAAATTATAGGAATGAAGGAGTTTCAATTCTCATTTTCTAAGAACATTGAATATCCACTACAAGCCCTTTCTACGGTAGTCCTCATTTCGCTAGTTAAACAGAAATTTCTACACATTCTCAACTGACACATACACTTTAGAATGTACAATTGCTTTCAAAAGACCTTCCACAGTACTTCCGGAAATCTGCGCCTATGTATGACGTTAACATAAAAACATGAATTCATTTCTACGCATAGGTAAAGGAAATACACAAGGAAAGTTGTTCAACAGCTCCAGTTACATCGTTTATTACGCAAGAACTTCGGGAAGTCCTTCCTTTGCAGACATCCTTCAGGCACACTTCTGCGAATCCCGGAAACAGCAGAGAAACAATCACAAGTAGAAACATAAAGGAAATTCGCAACTTTTTCCTGCGATTAGGGTGTGTATTGATACATTACAACAACCTTAACAGACAAGTATCAAGTCCCTTTAGCCCGCCCTGTGTCAGGCACAGACTGGAGACATGCAAATCGCGTACAATAAATACAAGCACTATTTCGGAAGGCACATTTTTATTTTACACTAGTGGATCCGGGAATGCCCCGCTATTGCAGTGTACTACGACACTACGTGCACGTACTACGTACACTTCTCACTGTACTGATCACGTGATTGTTAATCACGTTTTACGCTAGACTCTGCAACAATTCGAAAGGATGAAATACTTCCTCGTGAGTATAGTTTTGTTCTAGAATTTGTCTTCCTTGTTTTGGACATTGGTGTCAACTATCCTATTGTAAAAACGTTCTTCCTCAAGTTTGGACATGCGTTTGCTATGGCATTGTCTTGCAGAAATTTGATTTACTTGTCGAAAAAAATGTTCAAGAAATAATTCTGTCCAATATTTCACAATCGGAGGATCAGAATATGCAGCTACAGATGCGCTTGATACTTGACGACGCAGCGGGTTGCTTAGAGCTTCAGGGGTACTTGCGTCATCATAAAAGTATAAAACGCCCCACGTGTCATTAAATATAAATCAGTCTTTAAACACTCCCGATATTAAAAGAACAATATGTGAGCATTTCAGTGAAATCGGTCCAGTAGTTTATATGTCTATGCACGACAGACATACGAACATTCCCTTATATACATAAAGTATTAATAACGAGTGAAGAAATGATCGATTATAGTATAATGTGGTTTCTTTTACTACACGCATACGAAAACCATTACACTCTGCTTGTACGCAGGAGTTTCAAGGCGCGGTCCATAATATTTTTGGTCTAAATACTGTTTGTGGTGTTTGCTTCTGTAAATGAAAACCAGTGGCACCTCAACTGCACGTACTTTTTCGCTTTAGTAACAATTACTTATTACACCTCTGCAATTTACGCAGTTCTGTCCATATTAATACATTTCAGCCATTACTCGTAAAATTCATTATCAGGGTAGCGCATTAGGTGCGAAAACTATTTCTTTTAAAGGTAAAATCAAAATAAATTCGACGATCCAAAACTGCGTGCAGCGAGAAATATTATTGCCCAACAAAGAGACGTTCAGAAAGAGAATTCTATGGATTTCAAAACTGCCATGATGCAGTGTTGCCACTATCTTATTGCGACCTGACTACTCTTGAAAAACTAGCAAAACAAACCCGGAAAATTCGAACTTATAATTTAAAATTACGCAAAACGACCCATATTTTCAACAAACAACAACAACAACAACTTATTTAAATACCTAATTTTGAAGAAGAGATTTCATTTTCAAAAATCGACATTGTATTTTGTAATATTAATTATTTACAATTTTCAGAAACACTAGAGTACATCAAAATAGAGGCCTGTGCCAATGTTACGCCAAAGAATAAAAAAAGCAAACCCCGTTGGAGCACCGGCTGGTAAACACAAGGGCCACTTCAAAGCTCGCATACGATATTCACGCCATATACGATATGAACTCGCGATTGAAGTTGTTCGAATAATGAACTCGGGGTAGAACGCCTGAAGGCATTAAATACAAAGGAAGCACTTTCATTTTCAGGTATCGTCTAATCGGCAGAATCATATTTTGTCATAATTTCGAAAGCTTTTATATCAATGTTGAAGCGAAAGCAAGAACAGATAACATTAAAAGGCGAAGAGTTCAATAACATCTTTTGATTTCGATATAGGTTAAGTACGAAAACTTTTTCAAGAAATGCGTTTTCCATTGTTCAAGTTTGAAATTACAGTCAACCTCACGTGGAAAGCTCCTTAATTTCTAACTTCATTAATAGCAACTTCTTTAGCAAATTTATCAGCAACTTACAAGTACACGAACCACAACTGACCCCGGTCTGAAAATGCATTATCTGGATGGAGTATCTCTTCCCATTATGCTTTTCGGGTTCACTAGAGAAGAATAGGAGAATCCAAAGTGAGGGCGGTGCTGCTGTAATGTTTATATTAGTAACCTTGAACATGTGAATCTCTCCTTGTACCTCGTCTACTCCTTACTTTGTCCCAAGGAAACTCTAGTATGCTTAATCGAGCAACAAGTTCTGAAATGGACCAGCTATAATATCGACATGACTATCTGCACAATTAACAGTAAAGTATTATCATTCAACTTCGTATTAACAGCAGCATATCTTTCGTAAACATAATAATAAATGCGATGTGTAGTGGTGTAGTGGTCGAGAGAGAAGAGAGGCCCACAAATTAAAATATCCGTTTCATATTCGAGTTCAGCTAGTTCCAGCGGGCGTAGCACGCTGACTTCGCAGTCGGGAGGTTCGGGTTCGATACCCGGGCCGGCCCGGGATTTCGTGGTTGCCCTTGGTCATACAGACGAGTGCTCGGATGGTTCAAAAAGGCCACGATCACCTGCCATCATCATCATCATACTATAATTTCATAATTCCTAATTCAAGGTTTAACAACCTTGTCTTACCACGGGATACAGGCGAAAAGCTAATCCCCTTCACGACATACGTTAATCTCTACTTTCGGGTTTGAATACGACTAGGCTCATGGCCAGAAGAGAGTGTGTAGCATGGTCAAAATTGGCCAGTAAGCAAATAATAATAATAATAATAATAATAATAATAATAATAATAATAATAATAATAATAATAAATAGAAAAAAATCGGTATCAATGAACCTCCGAAAACGTGCATCTCTATTAACATTAAGACAACGATAATTCGCAGCATCACTGTCTTTACGCTTCATTTAGGATTCAGTAAAATGCATCCGAATTGTTCTAAAAGTGTACCATAAGACAAGAGAAGCGCGGCAAATTAAAAGAACGCTCTACAGATCCCGAATGCCCGGACGAGAGGAGGAGGAGGAGGAGGAGAAGGAGGGCCAATAGGAAGCACATTACGACGTAGTGCGAGAGCACTCCCGCACGTGTGGTCCCATAATCCACTCGCAGCCTTTTGTCGGGGGCCTCTAGAGCGTCATTCCAGGCACCCTCCCCCTTCGCCATTCATCCATCCCTGCGCACGACCCGCCGCGATGAAAGGCTGCCTGCACGCGAGCCCTACGTCACGTGGGCCGCCTGCTCGCCCGAGGCACACACGGCGGCGCCAGGCCGAGACGCTCTCAAAGCAGCAATAGTTGTGGCAGGGACCAACTCCCCTTCGCGTGGTATGCGCCGACTGAACAAGGGCAATCTGCCGCCTGATGAATGGTACACAAACAGGGCCGGATTAACCTAAAAGCAAAATAAGCGGTTGCTTCGGGCACCCCATCCACGAGGGTCCACGCGGCTCTCATAAAACTGAGGTCCCGAACCATCACAAGGCATCACAAGGCTAAAGTGTTATTCCACTACACATCGGGATTCCTTCTTCGGCCTATCGGCTTCGTCCGTCAGTCATGGCCACATCCACTTTCTTAGCTTTAAATAAAATCACCATTTTCTTCAAATTTGCGTCCGAAGTTATCTTCCAGAGCTATTTCTCAACAATAAAATTAATGTCAGTTCTTGGTGCTGACAATTAACAAACGTAAAGAAATTAAGACAAATTCTGAACTCAGCAACTTCACATGTTAGAAATGTTTTAATTTGCTACACACTACCCTGAAATATTGAGGCGCCAAGCTGCCATCGGCCTTACGTTTGGAATTATGTAAATATCCCCCATTTCTTATCTTTAACCATATGCCTTCAAGATTATGTCAAAACTTAAGACCAAAATGATAAACGCTGTCATGCCACTTGATTCCCATCCTCTTGAGTACCACAGCCAACTGTTTTTCATCAGTGTCAGTCAACAGACAAGTTGACATTGCTCTATGTTCCTTGGCCCAGGCACCACTTAAAAATACTGTGATTACTGCAAATGGTTGAGAACTAGCAACCGAACCACTTCTTTATCGATGGGCACAAAAAACCATACCACCCTATGGTTTCCATTATAAAAACACACTGCAGACAATGAAAAGGCATATTTGACAAACGCCCTTTCTTTGAAAATATAAATCGGTAAACTTTTCTCAGATGCAATCGATAAAACATACAAAACTTAAGTTTTTCTACACACTTAATTCCATCTAACACTGGTCTGGGATTAAAACACGACAAAAACATACATAGGATTTTGAACACACATGCCTAAGACCGGACCTAGACCGGAACCATATTGCCTGTGTGCAGTTGCCACGAGATTCAAAATCATAATTTGTCGGTTCATTCTGAAGAAGTGAATGAAAGAAGGAACATCATTCAATCGAAACAAGAATATGTTTGCCCAGAAACCAAGGTGAACAGGTTAGCGCGAGGGAGGCAGGACTAGGGGAGCAAACCGGCTTTTCGGGCAATGATGGGACAGCTGCCTGGCAGCTGACCCCAAGAAGCCACCCGCTGGGTCACCCGGCTACAAATGGTTGAATGTGACGGGTCCGGCACAGCCACTATCACAGTTATTTTCACGGGTTGGATCACGACGAGATCATTCATTTCCCTAAGTCCAACGCAGCGAGGCGAACTGAGGCGCTAGCAGACGACGATTCTGAGAGAAACACAAAATATTGTGGAGCGCATCACGAAGGTCCTGTGTAGAAACAGGACGTAAGAGTTCTGGGAAGGCTAGCATCGACATTCCGTCGTGTTTTTCTAACCTATCAACGTTCGGACTTCTGACGTTATGGCAAAATTTACCGTCTTCTAAGTCAAGACGATGAATGCACCAATTGGAGTGAAGTCTTTCGACTCTTTATTTGCCTTGTTGCTCCCGAAAGAAATGGTATAGTCGTTAAAATACAGATTCATTTCTGCAAAGCATATAAAAGGTCGCGTATGCATAAAAAGGTATTTTTTAAAAAAATATTATTAATTTTAACAAATCGCTATTTTGTTCCATAACCGGAATACACATAACCGCTTACAAATAGTGATCTGGCCTCGTCAGATAAGGGCTTAGCGCAAGGCGAACCCATATATACATGTTTACTAAGGACGTGGGTTCGAAACCCGCTTATGGCACGAATGTTTTAAGTTGCGTGTGGAGCATTTCGAGTCCCTCCTGTATTACTCCTACATCCTAATCCTTCGGTAAACTCTCGACCTGGCATGCAAACTGTGTGTTCAATCGGTGCATGTAATTGAGGAACTGAATCCCTATTCCCAGGGCAAATGAGAATCGCCAAGAACAGGACGTGCGATGGCCGGGGCGCGCGAAGATCCTCTTCAATGAGCATGCCTCCCGGAGAGCGGAAGGGACTGCGAGGGGCTCCGGCACCGGGGAAGAGGGGAGGAGTCCCAAAAGCTGGCTCAGACTCAAGAGAATGGGAAACTAACTCGTATGAGGAAGTCTGCACCGATCTGCAGCACTACTAGTTTTACTGTTTTCATAATTTAATTACATTACCATAACTTTGAGGCAAAAGGGGTATGTACCATATACTAAATATTGTATTAAAAGCCTACATATACGTTTTAAATTGTACGCAATGAATTTTCATTTGTATGCATAATTTCCATGTACATCCTACAAAATTTACAGGTTTCTGTATCATATATTTGTTAAAATTAATTTGAGCTAAATGAAGTCACGTATTAATTGAATTAAGTAAAGTAAAATTTAAGTTTTTTTCTTAATTGTTTAGCTTTATCCATTCATCTCACTACCCCCACACTGGCTCGATCCTCGCTTATTAGAGAAATTGGAGCTGTCCCATGTTAGTAGATTTACTTGCGTGTAAAAGATCCTCAAGCCTAAATGACATCTCTGAGCTAAATTCAAACCGTTTGTTTCGTCGCCCAAGAAATACCTCGTTTCTTCGCTAGTGGGTGAAAGGAGCGTAATGAAATTTGCATGGTCAGACGGAAGAGCGGGCTTGGTGGCCCGAGTCTCGCCACGTAAAAAATAAGGTATCAATTCAATTCAATACTGTAATATGAATGCACAATTCAAAATCAGCACTATTTTTCGAATAATAATGTACAACCAATGTTCAATTAACGAGAGTTCACCCTATCACCGATCTCACGTCAGATGAGCTTAACTTTGGGAGCAGTAGTCGACGTAGACTCACTGCTCTCAACTCGCAGGACGCGCGCTCCATCTATGTGCGAAGCCCGCAAAGAAATGTTAGTTACCAAAACTTCCTCGCACACGAAGGAATACCGATTCCACCACACGACGCGAACGCGAACGTTCTCGGATTATTTGCCCGCCCACACATCGTTTTATCAAAACACTCGGCGTCCGAACAAAGTACTCTTTCAACCGAAACGTGTTCGCATCTTCAAATTATTTGCTTAGCGCACGCTAAATTTGTTCTCCACAAAGCCCCTTTCAAATCACAATTTCCAACGTAAATAGCGTTTCTGAACTTCTTCACTATTTAGGTATGGAGTTAGAAGTTCTCACAGAAAACATAATGCTTTCATTCAACGCAGTTCCTACAGTATATTAAATGACAATGTTTAAAAATATTCAATGCCAAACAAGTTTTTCAAAACGAAATCAAATCATTAAAAATTAATTCGAAGTCAAACAATTTAGTTACGCCTTGGCTGCGACATCATTTTATATATTTAAGACCCTGAGGGTTTCCGTTTATAAAGAAATTTGCGCATTCCACTCAAATGTCGTGAATTTTGCGTTAAATGAAAGGTAGTGCGTTCTAGATGTGGTAACGATTGCCATTATTAACCGGCATTATAATACAACATTACATTTTAATAAAATTTGAAAATTAATAGAATCGAAGCTCATTTGCCGCATTGCGTCGTTTGGTTGTGCCAAACAGACAAAATTAACTACAAGTCGGTGTTGGGTAGTAAGAGTTGCAAACGATATATCGAAAGCATTCAACGTTTTTATACAAGCGAAGATTTGTTTGACTGGTAAGGTCATTAGTCTTGCTGGTGTAGGACATGTTTTATGCGGATGTGGCAATGATCTTCCCCCGCTGGTCGGTGAGATCCGGCGTCGACATACCCTCGGCTAACGGGATTCCCACAAACAGGTATCTCCCACCAGCGGGGCACAACCCCAGCTAGGACAAGCTCTAATCTCCCGAACGGTCTCCCGGCATATTTGGTAATGTAATGCAGGTAAGTGTAAGCGTGTGTAAGTAATGTGTGAGGATAGGGCAAGGAAGACGAAGGTAATATAGCAGGCGGTCAGTGGCCTATTAGTTAAGAGTACTGCTCGACCGATCAGAGCAGCCGACCGCTAGAATTCTCCTCCAGACAGAGACTGAATCCGACCTCGCTCTCCAGCTAGTGTTGAAAATCCTGCGACTGCCGGGACTCGAACCAAGAACCTCCCGGTTAGAGGAACTATAGTGTCATCATCAGTCGGTGCCCCGAGCCATGTTTGCCTGTACTACGGGAATAATAGACTATACTGTAGTACGTACTGTTATTGTAATAAAAATAGAAAAACATAATCTAAAACATTTGTTTAACCAAAACAATGGCTATTTCTCATACGTGATGCTGGTAAAAGTATACTGGCATTTGTACGCATGTTGTTTTATGCCAAAAGCTGGAAACTCTGCTGCCTGAATTTTACACCAATCCATCACAAGTTAATCTTCATACGATAGTACAGGTGATGTCAAGAGGTATCGTATCAGATAGAAATGAGGAAATGTTTGAGACGAGCATTTTTCCTTTACTACGTGTTTCAATAAATTGCACATGATAATTCAATGAGAACGACGGCAAGCAATCATGAATTTCAGTCGAACGTGCATTAATTTTGAAATGTATTTATATTTGAAGTATTCACAGTTATATAGAGAATAGCAGTTTTCTTTTGCTTAATGAATGTAACCAATATTCATTTATAAACCCACGCTACAAACTTGAAGCCTGTAAGAAGTCATACACAATTCATGGCAAAATTATGCTCATTTCAAAAAATGGCAAACTTATTTCTTATTGTACTTATTGAATAAAAAAAACAAGTTTCGTTTTCTGAACACTCTTTTTAATAACAGTTCATTTTTTTCCGTAATCATTCCATTTTTCTACATTTAATTTCGGTCTTTCTTCTTCTTCTTCAAATTATTACTAATTTCATAACAACGAATAAAACGCACCATGTTATTAACGTGATTTAATCAAGTATAGCACATAATTGAAATGGTTGAAGTTCGTAAAACGAAATGTTGGCCGGGGTTTATAACTCATATTATAATTTAACTCATATCGGTGATGTTGTTCGTGCGTTGTTCAGTACTTTTCGTAATACCACCTTCTTACAAGAAAACAATATAAATAAGAAATACCTTTCACTCGAGTAGGAGTACTCGAATTTACTGCAGACTGAAAAAACTTAACTGGCGCCGGCCGTTAAGATTGGGTTTTGTTTTCTCTGTTTAACGTTGTCATAACAAAACAGTATTACGAAAACGAATAAAAACACTAACTGGTAAATATCTCACGACGCATTTTCGTGAAGAATGGCATTCACTTTCATTCGTCGATAACGCACCGTAAGAAGTTTTACTTCAAAACTGAAAGATCACAAAATGTAGAAAGCTTACCAAATGCCAACGGGAAAACCGTTGATTCTTCGACAAGGCAGTGGACTGATTTATAAGATCTAAAATCTTTATTTACACCACGTTTTTACGCAACTGCACAAAGTAAGTAAAGATGGTTTCCCACTATGAACTTCATGTATTTCGCCCCGCTTTCATAATTTGTGAATCGATCAATGGATTTTGATGAATGAAACTTCTTCAACGATTTATTTATTCCATAAACAATCAGTTTATGTAAAATACAAATCAGTGTAGCAGAAACCAAAAAGATTCAATGTCTCTAAGTTTAACCATTGTCGTAGATAAGCATCTACAGAACAGTAGCATTTTTTGTTTCCATACTGACGGGCAAAGAAGTTCACGTATTTTTCCAAGCGAAGCAAGGTCCTGCGTTAAATCGATAGTTCGGCATTTCGTCTTACTAAATTCGTTCCTAACGCAGTCACGAGCAAACACGTTGATCGATTTATTGACTAAACATTCAAAACCCGCAAAGGACAAACCTTTGATAATTTCTAGGCGAAGCCTACTGTTCACATAACTACTGGTAAAAGTGTTAATTAATTAGAATTTTGGATACTTCGAACTTTTCGTGTTCATTTCTTTCATCTCACAGCATCAGCTTAATCTTGGAGACTTTTGATAGGAACCACCACGAAAGAGGGTTACAACATGAAAACCAACAGGGTTGGTGTCATTGCTGAGTAACACAACGAATTTCGTTTTTAGAAAAGATGAGAACTGCCAATTCGTAGGAAAATATATAAGTTCTCGATTCTCTAAACGTTATTATACACTATATTATTGAATATAACGACATTACATTTAACATTTTACCGCATTTGGGACGAAGTTATAAAATGACTTCCCAGTGACTCAGATATTACAATTAAACGGAGAAACTTCGTTCCTCTCGTGCATATATTTCTTTAAAGTCTTTTGTTCTCTTTAGAGTTATAGTGCTCTCTCTGTTGTCGCAATGTCTAACAAAAGAAATTTCACTTTGGAGGAAAAATTGTACGTGCATTTGAATGATATCTACAAACATACGGTTGATGTATTCAAAGAAAAGGAGGTAGTCATTCAATATTTCGCTCATTTCTGGCTTCATGGCAGTGGAACATTTAAGAGTTCAAAGAAAGCTATTACAGGACAAAAAAAATATAGAAGAATAAGGGTAAAACATTGTTTAAAACGAGAACTTACAGCTACAAAATTAATATTCCCCCTTGATGATCATTACAAGCAAAATACAATGTAAATCTTTGTCGATCGTCCCAGATAAGACCTCTGTATTCGAGTATTACACAGCTAGAGTCCGATTTTCGAACGAACAACCCGAAATGGACGATGATTTCAAATATCTTGCAACCGTCTTTTGAGCATTCTCTTCACGATCTCAATGACAGCGCACGAGGAACACGCAACTGATCTCGTCATTCTCAATCGACAGGCGTGGGGCGTACACCAGAGGACGCCGAAGAATTTGACCTTCCCTGCAACCGACTGACATATAAAACCAAACCTACCAAATCAAATGGAATGCTCTCCCGTTTTATGCATTATTCCTTGATTATTATTCTTTCAAACTTTTGTGCTGTAATTTTTGCAGATCTCAATTTTTTGCCACGCGCAGACGCACGAAACAGGTGCAAACTCGAACCGTGCATGGTAGAAAATCGATACTTCTTTCGATTTCTTTAACGTTCGAGGGTGCGCACACTGCCTATCGATGATTTTGAAACGGATATCGATATCACATCTGTACTCCCGCAGCGCGCCGCGAGAGCGCAGCAGCGAGCAGGTACGCGCGACTCGTTCCCCCGCGCAGCAGCGCCGCCCACACGCCGCGGAGCGTCGTCGAACCACACGTGACGTCACGCCTCCGCGCGGCGGCAACGGGCGGCGGCGAGGATCGGAGCGGCGCGGCGCGGCACGCGGGAACGCGGCGTCGGCAACGGCACGGCCACCACACAACGGGCATCGGCGCGAGCCGGCGGGAGAGCGAGTCCGACTACGCCAGTGCGTGCAGACGCGTGCGTGTGCGTGCGGCGGAGAGCAAGCGAGCGCGTGCCGGGGCGTGCGGTGACATGCGAGGCCCCACGGCCGCCGTCCTCCTGCCGGCGGTGCTGCTGCTGCTGCTGCTGCTGCTGGCGGCTGGTGGCACGGCCGGTGAGGACGGCGCGAGGACGGAAGCACCGTCGGACGCGGCCGTCGCAGCCGCCGCCAGCGGTGGGCAGAAGCGCGTGCTGTACAAGTGCTGCGAGGTGGGCGAGGTGTGGGTGTACGACGACGCCGACAACGCCGCCAGCGGCTGCCACAACGCCACGGTGTGGCTGCCGCCGGACAGCGTCGGCCAGGTGCAATGGGAGCGGGAGCTGCGCGACCGCCGCTTCCAAGACGTTCAGGTAAGCCAGCGACGCGACGATGCGAGGGGCCGGGCCAGTGCCAGAGCCGTGGCCGGGCCCGGCCGCGGCGTGTGGGGGAGCCAGTCCGCCTCGCGGCCCTCTACCCGCGCCGGGTGGGTAGCGAGGAGCCCGAGTGTTCTTTCGAGGGGAGCTCGAGAAGTGAACATTTGATAAATTAGCATTCAAGATGAGACTGAAAAAGCCCTTTCAACGACACATTTTGCCAAATCAAATTCCGAAATTAACAAGTTTTCATCCTAATGGGGTAGAAAAGACAATGGTTTATGTATTTCGTTGGTTTTTATTGATTGTACGGGTTAAACTACTTCACATAACCACTGCAACTGTTAATGGCATCCATTAATCAATCATACACATTAAGCAGAGTAATTTATTATGGGCTGGGAGAGATTTATCCCCTGCTTTTTCCCTGCATTGGATCTGCTAACTGGTATCTGCCAACGAGACGCAGACATTTTATTGAAAAAAGCAGCAGAAGGCAAGTCGAGGGCGATGGAAAGAACAGAATATTCGATTTACAATGAATCGAACACATTACTTTCATGTTGATTAAATATTTCCATTGTCATTACTTTTCTAATTGAATAAAATAATAATTCTTCCTTAAAAAACGATAATGACGAATAATATTATACATAAGAAGTCACAATAAGAGTACGGAAGGCTTGCTACAGCAAGCACCGCTTAAACTGCATCTGTCAGATCACGCTCCTGTCAAAAACTTACTTTAGCTGATGAGTGACCACAGATTCCGTGACAAGAAAACCGATCTCTTAAAGTTCAGACGTTTAATTTTTTTAATTTCGATCGCGCCGAAGATTCTCCACTTCACTAAATATGTACAACCAGAAATAAGCTCCCTCAAACACCTTCTGATAAAACATACACAAAAGGGCGGGGGCCAAGCTAATATTTTGAGGGGGCCGTAAGAAAGACAAAACGAAGAGCCTTCGTCCCTTTAATATTGACTGTTTGAACACATTTAACTAAAAGCAGAACGAAAATAAAACTAGATGGTTCAATTTATAAATGTTTAATTTAAACAACAAATACAATACATACATATATTATGTATATTTAATATTATATAATAATTATTTTATAACTTTCGTCTACCTTTCTGTATGGCAAATTATTTTCTACAATGCTTTTTTTTAACCGGAATTGAAAATATTTTGTTTGTAAATTATTAATAAAATATTTATTTTCGTATTTAAAAACTAATTCGTTTATTGAAAAAAGTATTGGAAGCCTAATCCAACAATTCTCTATCATCTTCAGCGTGTCATTTCTTCGCAAGAGCAAGGAATGTGATTCGTCTTCCCTGTGTGGCTTATGTCACCCCCTTGGAACGGCCCAACGTCTGGAGGCAGTTTCTGACAGACGGTTCATCTGACAGGTGGCAGAGTGGTGCTTTAGCGATGCTCGCCTACCGCAAACCTTCCATATGCTTGTCGTGGAACTTTATATTATTCGATATCCAGCGGGGACAGTCTGTCCCCCATCGAGAGGCCGTGGCCCGTACTCAGTCTTCTTATGAATTAACCCACCCCTGGCACCGAGGAGTCAGCATCCGCCACGCCCCCTCCGCCGCCCGCGCTTTCCATTCTGCTACAATCGCCTCCATTTTCACCGCGGGCACTTTCACGCGAATCCCGCTGGAGAGGGAAAGGGGTCGCTAGAGAGCATCTCTTCTCAGCAGCCGTTTACCGACTGCACCCCGCGGTCAACGTTTCCTTTCCCTACCTCCCCCAAAAGGTACAGCCCGACTGCATCCCGATCCGATTTCCTCCTTAGTAAGTGGATTGATTACTACGTTTCCCATAGTCTTCTTAAAATCAAATTGATCCTTCATTATTTGTCCTCTTCTGCCTGTTTCAAAGGAACATTTACACGTCCTCTTAGAGCAACTGACGTCGAAAAGTTGGTGGAAACAAAATCACGAGCATCATCTTAACCGGCTGACGTACACAATTCCGAAGATTGTGCCGTGTTCACCTGTGTATGAGGATTTCTCTGGACCGGTGCACGAATGTCTTAGCGGTACTTATGAATAGAAACTTAACTAAAGTTTTTATTTTTTCTGAAACTCAGGATAAGCAAAACTGCATACAGTTGGGCGATGCCTTCTCAGATAACGAAAAGTGAAAGGGCATTAGCTGTGAAGCAGGGGTAAGGGAGAACTCAGCGCGGGATGCAGTTGGGATATTCCTCCTTGCAGTTTCTGTACCCGCCACCCACGAGGACGACTCGCGGTGTGGTGTGGAGGTCACTGTCTGCCTCCCACTGCTGGTACCAGGGTTCCTATCCCGTCCGACCCTCGTGGAATTTGTGCTGGACGAGGTTTCGCGATAGGTTTTCTAGTAGTTCTCCCGTTTCACCTCCTCATGACTCCGTTGATTCATCACCATTCATTCAATCTTCGAAATTACCTCGTCATAAAAAGCATTCGCTCACTTCTAGGTATGGCCATAGGGCTAAGCACTGGTTATCACAATAAAGAATGTCGACCACCCACGGGCTACCGCGAAACCTCCAAGTAGGAACGGGTCGCCTTGCACCTATCGACCGCAGGAGTTTCTGTGCAGGTTGTTGACACACGCGAGACTCCGCCAAAAAAACTTATCTTGCGTGTAACGTTGGTTCTGGGTGGTTTTGCACACTTTGCGTCCAACTGTGCTAGTACAAAGTTTTCGATTGCTGATACAGTACTTTGCGACTATGGACAACTTTCATGGACTCAAATTTATGAGAGATATTATTAAAAAAGAAAGGAAGAGAAAAGGGGAACTAAAACCTAAAAAAAACATGTTTCCACATATTTTTCAGCACCCTCTAAACAAACAGTTTCAAAGATCACACACAATGTACTCGACTTATTTCACTTCGCCAGAAAATATCTGAATGAAAATATACAAAATATCCGAATGAACAACAATTCAGTCCGCTCGAAATACATTATTGTAGAAGTGTTTATATTAGTGTTTCAACACTAGTTCCCTAGAACAATTGCGGAAATACAATCAATGGCAGTACGTATTATTCGCCTGGACACAAAATCAATATACTACATCAAGTTACGTTGGAAGTGAATCAGATGAAATAATACATCTTGTTTTAACCTTTGAATATTGAACAATGAACGTAGAACGTGATGATGAACATGTGGAAGGTTTTTGAAATTTTGAATAAGATGATTAAAATACGATAAATATTAAAACTGATTTATACTTTGATACTGATATTGCTCTCAAATGCAAAATAGGACGTGGAAATGGTAGCAATTATAAAATAATATTAAATTAATATTTTTTCCAGGTGACATCAAACTCTCTAAGAGCAAACGTCCCTCTCCTGAATATTTTGATTGTATGGGTACACTGGAAGGGATTATCCGGTAATCTTCATTGTATTTTCTGAATTGTCTCTCAATAAACGGGACCGGCTTAGGCGGCTCAGGACATCAACTGATGTCACTAGAGTGCTTGGACTGCAAGGTCTTAGGGTTCGGGTCCCGTCGATGGCAGGATTATCAACACTAGCAAGATATGTATGCCGCTGGCTAGAGGAAAGTTTTAGTGGCCGGCTGCTCTGGTCGATAGTTTTCGTGGTTTCTCCGTACATCAGGCGAATCCCGAAGCAGTGGTGTCCGAAGCAGTGGTAAAAAACGGGACACGGACTGAGCGCGATCTTTCCTTCCTTTTCAGCTCATACACTTCCCGTTAAATGCAATATACCACCACACTTGTCGAGATACCAGATGGGAGCTTAGAGCTTGTCCCGGCTGCGGCGATGCCTCGTTAGAGGGAGATACTTGGTTGAGGAAAAAACCCGCGGGCCGACAGATAGCAGGGATCTCGCCATTCTGCGGGGAGGGGGGATTATCGCCACTCCCACCATAAAAACGCTCTAACCCTTAGGGGCTAATGACCATATCAGTTGACGCGCCCGGAACAATAACCAAAAAATCCAATAATTCGGCGCTGTACGCCCTTGTTGATCCGCACCCTGACCACACACACGACAAGAACACTGGGATTCACACTGCGGCGCGTGGACCCCCGCGGCGATGATTTACAGCCGGCCGCGTGGTAGAGCGGCGCGCGCGCGTCCGCTGCGGCAGGCGCCAGCCACGCTCCGCTCGCTCGCCCCCGTCGCCCCCGCCCCGCGGGCGTTATGCGAGGTCAGGCGGTGTGACGCCACCGGCGCGGCGCCCGCGCTGCAGCGGCAGGTGGACGACCGCGTGCTGCAGTTGGCGCCGGCGCCGCCGCGTCCGCCCTTCCGCGAGCTGTCATTTCTCCGCGTTCCAAGCGCAATGAGCCTAGACGAACTTCGGGGGGGGGGGGGGGGTATTGTTTCTAGTAGACAGCTCATCGCAACAAGCAATGGAGGTGCTATGGGTAATAACGGCAGACCCCAATCGACCTCGCATTTTCAGTTAGAAGTATGACAGTAAACGCCTGCCATATGCCCACCATATGCTGAAATATCAGATGATCTCGGACATGGCAAAACTCTCAAATTCCACCTTTAAAAGTTTGTCCGAAGTGAAAGGTAATCTGCACGAAAAAGAAAGTTGTTTTTCTCAAAATGAACTTTGGTTGGGATCTGCCGTTATTATTCTATTTATTTTTATGTATATTTTCTTGTACTAGTTCTTCAGCCTTCGCCGTAAGGGATTATTAGGAACGTTTATTACAATATTCATATTATTTAAATTAATGAGAGAAAACTATAGAGATTCACAATCTACCATTGAACGTATGTACCAATGTAGGCCTCATGTAAACAAGAGACTAATTCTTGACCCAGTTTGTCAAAAGAGCAAATGTATCTATTCAACCAATCCACACATAATGTTGGGTTTCTAAATAAATTCTGAACATCATTTGTACGCTCTAGAATTTCGTGGAATAATAGTTCAACGCAAACACAAAGGTGAAATTATTATAGATTTTATCACAGAGTCAAAGTGGACA